GACTACTTTTTACAGTGAAGGAAAAATTATAGATATGAAGTCTGGGTTTATTTCAAATATAAACCATTTTTATTTGCATTCATACTTGCTATGGAAAAATAGATTAAAATCAGCATGCGAGGCACACTCTTCTTTAAGTTACATTCTTTTCCAGACACTCAATACCAACTTTGCAAAGAGTAAGTCTTCCTTTGAGGACTGGATTTAAACAAAACTCAAACTGAAACATGTTCTACTGCTTACACATCTCCCTTTGTTACTTTGCTTAACTTAAAAGATAAAACCTTTTCATATCTTTACAAGGCTGAATATTTTGGAACAGAATAAAACAAACAATCAAACAAACACCAACAAAAGAAACAACCCCAAACCAATGAACCCAACACCAAAATGCTAACTCAACATAGAGCACATCTACTAGCTCCTTCTACTTCTTTCCCGTATACTAAATGCATGTATTTCAGCCTTAACTTCACACATAGTGACTGTATTTGCCATGTTAATTTTCTCTTCCGCCTGTTAATAATTCAGGGGATAAAGCAATGGAATACAGCAAGATAAGTTATACATTATGGATTAAATTGCACAAACTACTCACTGGCTGTAGTAAGGAACACTTCAGAAGAAATAAATAAAGGTCTCAGTAATGCAAGAATCTGTGGTACTGTTCAGTGTTCAAAGAGCAGTACTACAGCCTTGTATCAAGTACAGATGATTCTCTCCTTTGAACTTGTATGTTTTTCTGTGCTGCCATCTGCTCTGAGGACAGCAGACAGATTTCCCCCTTTTTAGCTTGTAAGTAATATAGCACATCAGTGTTTCTTTTTTTTTTTTTTTCATTTTATTGAAGGTAATGACATCTCCAACAAATTAAACACATAAGAAAATAGAGAACAGTTCTTAGAGGATACTTACAAGCAGCATTTTAGTTCAACATTCACTTTGAGGATTTAATTTTACTTTTTTTTTCTCCTAATTGTCACAGTATCATAATCCCTTTCGTGGATCTCCATATATTAGAGAATGATAAATAGATCACAGTTATCTCAAGGATAAGAATGATTTTCAATAAGTGTTGAACAGTTGGACAGCTCTGCTGGAAGCAAACTTGGGCTAAATATATCCCAGATGTATTCAATCTGACACCAACTGTACAGAACCTTAGAAAACACTTCTTGTGAAGGTCTGCAGGGTTCAACAGTGCTACTACCTCTTGGGAGTTCGCTGTATTACTGGAACTTTGTTTGACATGGGCTCTACACAGAGCTCATAAATCAGTGCAGAAGAGTGTGGTGAAAGGAGATCTGGGATTATTCCACTGACAGAGATAACCCTATTCCTGTTATTTCACCACCAAAATCTGTCGTTTTTTTTTTTCTTTTCAAGGACTGGATCTGCCAGAAGCTTGTGTAAGTATCTTGCTGGTGTAGGACAGAGCACATGCAAGAATGGTTTTGAGGGATTTTCAAGGAAAAATACCTTAAAGAGGTAGTATTACATGTTGATATATGAATCTTACAAAGTACAGGTTAATTTGCATTCTTCCTATTGAAACTAAGGAATGTAATTTTAAGAACAGGCTACTAATAGACATTCTATCATAAGGTAAATTATCAGGAAAGAAATAACTTAGTATCTCTATGTTCCAAGTACTGTTGAGCTTGAGGCTACACATGCTTAGTCATCTTTCAAGTGTACATTTTATGGCATTGCTGTTAAGCTTTGTACCTACAAGGGTGAACTACAGTCTGCTCTTGAGTAACACAGTGTGAGGACTGAGAAGGTCATCATTATTTTCTCAAGTGCCACCTTACTCCTCCTCAACTTCACTTACACTACCAATATCATACTGGCCTAAAATACTATAATTTGTCAGATGATATCTCATATTTTATAATCTGATTAAGCAGTCAGAAAGTTGATGTTGCTATAGTGGCTTTAGTTCCTGATAGAATCCCACTTCCTTTAGTTAATAGCACTGTATCTTTCAAATTTATGGGCAGATGGTTGAATTTTAACTACTCCCCTACACTTAAACAGCCTATTTCCAAGCTGACAGAATTTCAGGAGGTTCATTTATGGAATCATGAAGTTCATTCTCCACAAAGATTTTAGTACTTATTAAAAACTGGATGTCATGACACTCTGTTCAAACATGACACGGATCTTTAGATTTCTGAATTAAAAATAAAGAAATCAAGACTGAGAGAAGAGGATATTTGCTTCATCTTTCTGTGTGTTGAGTAAGAGCTAGTGCTTGTTTCTGTTAAATGCAGCCAACAGAGAATGAGAAACTGCTGTGGTTTACGTGACTTTAGGGAACGATAATGTGCAGATGAAGGACTGGCACATCTAGGTACACATTTAAATACATCATTATGGAGATTTTTAAAAATTCATTTTGTTTTGTTTTGTGTCTCAATTTGCATCACAATCAACCTTTGATGATTTTTTTTTTTTTTTGGTCTAATCTTGCAGGTGTTTTTTAGTTTAATTGATGGTGCTCATTCCAGTGCCGTTGGAGTTAATGTTTCCCACATGTAAAAAGATACCATCTCAGATACACCAACTTTCATTTAAACTCACCATGGACATCAAACAGTATTTATTTTTTAAAGTGGTTTGTTTGAAAAGCATGCTAACTTGGTAAATCTAGAAAGGGGGGCTTCACATCTTTTTACTTCTTGAACTGTAACATAATTTCTATAAGTATCATGCAGTCTGCAAATATTGCAAATGGAACAAATCAGAACAGGCATTGTCAAACTGGTTAACATCATTAAATAATAAAAAGAAAAATGATACTGTGTGTGAATTATAATTAGCCATATATGTTTACAATAAAAATCCTAAAGAAGATGCTATTGGCTTTACCAGTTCTTCATAGTATGCAAAACTGCCCACATAACAACACTGCGCAGATTTGAGATTGTTGTGCATGTCTGGTCCTAAATGTGATTATTTAGATATGTTTTAAAATATATGTTTGGGCTCCTAGAAGATGACAAGCAACAAGGAGGTGATCCTTCCCCTCTGGCTAGCACTGCTGAGACCCTGGAGAACTGCATCCCGGTTTGGGACTCCCCTTTACAAGAAAGAGTACGGACATACTGAAAAGGGTCCAGCAAAAGCCACAATGATGTATTGGTGCTGGAGTACCTGTCCTATGAGGAAAGCTTGAGACAGCTGGTACTGCTTAGCCTAGAGAATAGAAGGCTCAGGGGAAAGGAGGCTGCAAAGAAGTTGCAACCAGGCTCTTTTCAGTGCCCAATGGCACAGGTACTTGGTGACTGGACCAGAGTCAGTGGTAACAAACTGAAACAGAGGAGATGCCATCTGAACATCAGGAAACAGATTTCCACTCTGGACATGACTGAGCACTGGCACAGCTTGGCCAGGGAGGTTGTGCAGCCTTCATGATTGGAGATGTTCCAAAGCTGTTTGGGCATGGTCCTGGGCAACCTGATCTAGGTGGCCCTGCTTGAATAGGGGGGTTGAACCAGATGTTCCCCAGTGGTCTCTTTCAACCTCAAAGTTTCCATGGTTTTGTGATTCTGTATGACCCTCATTAGATCAATATTTTTTCATTATTTCGAAATCAATATTGCAAAGATAAAAGTAGTATGTGTTTGCATGATTGAACATCATGTTTATATTTAGTTCATATTCACATTCATATTTAATTTACTGCCCATATGTACCTCTGCCACTTTAGCTATTTTGCATTATCCATTTCATTGTTCTTTTTGAACTTAAGCGTATAGCAAGGTTTGTAAGGACAGCTTGTTTCATTTTGTTGAACCAGCTGACAAAAAGAAAAGATGACCTTTCTAACATCAGCAGATGACCTTCGGATTATACTGATGCCCACTTGAATCTCCACAAGATACAGAGGTAAAGAAAAAAACTCTTGAAATCAGTAATCATTTACATATTATTCCTTGAAAGAATATTTCCTTGAACAATTCAATTTTCTAGCCATTAAACTTTTCTTTCCAATGTATCTGTCTGTGGAATGGAGAAAGGGAAACCACCAACCTAATAGATCCCTACCAGCAACTCTATCCTATTTGAAAGAAAGGAGAAATATCAGATTCCCAGACTTGCTTGTTTAGGGACATCATCCAGGAGAATTACAGCAGAATGTCTATATTGCTGCTGAACTAGTGTAACTCCCCCATGAACTCTCTGTGTCAACATAAACATTGCCTTAATGCAGTAATTTCTCTCCTCCAGAGTAATTATTTCTTTGGATGTAGTGTAGTCATTAAAAAAATAAAAATAAGAATAAATCACTCTATCATTGTTTGGAAAGGGTGTCCACATGGGGCGTTATCACTTGATGGTTCTAGGAGGGCAATTACTTGATGGTTCTAGGAGTGAAATTACACCATTGTGGCTATACAACAGAGATATCACTTAATTAAGTAAAATGCCTGATCTGTCATATATACTTCTTTCTTTTAGATCCCATCCATTTATTGGCTACAACAAATATGTTTCTGATGGAATGGTTAAAAAGGATACTAATCCTACACATGTTTAAAAGAAATAGAAATCAGAGTGAGTCCTTGACAGAAAAGGAAGGGTTAGTCATAGTAGAAGGAAATTCAGCTCTAGATCAAGACACCTTATATTAGTAGCATATGTTAAATTAAGTGTTTTAAGCTCCTATCAGGATAAGCTAATGTCTAATAAATGCTGTCAGGAAACAACTTGTATGAACTAGTGGCATGATGCAGTATCCAAAACAGACACTTTTAGTATTGCATGAGGTGTTATAGTGTAGATAAGGTATTTCTATGGCTTTTGAAGGTATATGGCCTAGCCTACAGAAGACACTTACCTTACTTGCTAGAGGATAGTATGATCTCTGGGGGATCCAAAAAGCAGTCACACCCCACTGCAGATGTCAGTTGTCTGTAATGGAAAACTGTTGAATCGGAGCATTCAGGTGCTGCTGACAAGTTCAGTGCAGAACTTCTAGGAGAATCAATTACCTTCTAGAGTGGCAACAATGCAGAATTACCTCGTGCAGCTTGAATGACATCAGATGTTCATTCTAGAAAAGGAAATCCAGCGTGAAACTAATGAAAGCAAGAACACACGTATACCTAAATTTTGGGTTGACTTACCTCAAATTAAATTCCTGGAACGTCTACTTTGGTGTCACCTTAACAGATCTCTAAGGACCATTGTATTAATCAGGTTTTCAGTTCAATTTCTTAAACGTAGATCTCCAGTAATATTTGAGGTGTCCAGGAATATCCTGTTGGACCTTGAGCCATTGATCCAGAAGGACATGAATATTCTGTAGCTCCTGTGTAATATCTGCCAACTCCTTGCATATATATTTTGATTATCTTGGGCACTGCAAATGGTTCTAGAGTTATATATCAAGGAAACTGAATCAAAGCATAGGTTCTTCACTGTAATAGTCATTTAGATAACAGTAAAAATTAGACACCTAAGGGTCTTAGTTTGGTACTAAATCCAAGGTACTAGTGTCAGAGGAAGCTGTATTTTATTTTGTGACTTGGACACTAGGGATGTTTGTAAAAGAAGTTAAACACTTTTATTCAAACAACTACAAAGCTTCTAGAAGCACAGGGAATATTTCAGTTGCTTTTCTGTATCTGATAGCCTGTGAACAGTAAGACAGATCTAGCATGTCTAAGATGTTTGTACTGATCTATTCACAAAAGGCTACTGTGGATAACATCAATAGGCTTCTGTCATTCTTGAAAGCATGGAAATACGAAGCACAAATTATCATTTAGCTGTATGCCGATGCACGTGGTGCTTTTGCTACCAAAGAAAGACAGATTTTGTAATAGAAATATTTTTTAATGGAAGCTGATATCTCTTGGTCTGTACATATGATAATCTCCCTGTAAATTCTAGTGAATCTTAACAGCCAACATTTTTCACACCAGCATGTTAGCTCTTTGGTCCTAACATATCCCAGTGAAATGCTCATGAAAGCTCTCAGCTGTGGTAGAAAGCTATCACATAAAAAAAAATAAGCCTACAGATAATTTTGTGAAGCAAAATATCATTTGAACTATTTTCTTTTAAATTACTTTTCCTTTTAAGAAGTTAAGTATCATCTGGAGTATCTTTTTTTCAGGTATCTCAGTTTCCTGACTGAAAAAGTTCTTATTACTCATGTCATGTCATGTTTTCCTATTTGTGAATTTGAAAGTACAACAAAAACCTCAGAATTTAGAAGTCTATAAAACCAGTTATAACTATTGTTCAAATCATAATTTGGTGATTCTCAGTCTTGCCTCCCTTTTTACTAAACTAACTGGAGCAAAAACTGAAAAATTTGCAGCTGATTCTATGTTACCTGAACAGTCTTTCTGTCATAAAACTCATTGTATCTGTTTGCACTACAATACCATTTGCAACTGGCATTCCAAATAGAACAACAAAGAAATTAGATTTCTTTTAAGGCTGGTGTTTTGTTTTTTTTTTTTTTTTTTTTTCTCTAATATAAGAGCAAGAAAACATTGTGCAGAGTTGCAGAGTGATATTTGAAAGAAGAATGAATATACAAGATATTTCCTGACTTCTCCGACATCTTTATAATCCACACTTTTTGCAAGAGCCTGCTTACTAGAGATTTACCCCCTGTGTTAGTGTTTAAATAATTTCCTGAAATATAATATCCTAAGTTATAATTATGAATGAGTAGACCAGTACAAAGCCTTTATTAAACTTTAGGAAGAATTTGTACCTCTCTGTCATCAGCTCCTTAGCAAAATGTAAGCGGAGAAAGTTAATAGTACTGAGACTTCCATTCAGTTCTGTGCATTTTTCCCCAGAAGACGTACAAAATATCTGCTTCTATTCATCCAAAAGAGATACTTCCTTCATTAAAGATACATCTAGAGAACAGGTATGTGAAACAGTTAAAGTAGCAATGCTGCCATTTGTGAGTTGTATGATGACAGAATTATGGAAAGCTAGTATGGTGGTTGAGGGAACACTGCAGTCCACTGTCCATATTTCAATATCCACTTAAGGTTTTCATTGCTTTGTTTCTTTCCACACATCGTGTTGTTTGGTTTTTTTTTAAACAAAAAAGCAAACCAAACATATGGTGCTTCATCCTCAAAGAGCGTGTGTTCCTACACCATGTCCAATGGAATAAATTCACAACACTTTTTTTTACTAAGAATCGCATGTCTAATCTATCATGCACATACCAATGGAAGTGTAAATTCAAACACTCTAATAGTTTCAGGAAACCCACAAAATTTTTGGGTTTTATTTGAACACTCACTGCTCACTGCTAACAAGAAAAAAGACACAAAATTTGATTTATTAAACTAAATGTTTCCCAGATTCAGGGATAACAAGACCATGCAGATAACACTTAACCATGCCAACTTCTTTCTTTGTGCTGTTCTTCTTACACTTATTTCAAGTGTTAGAAAAATACAGATTTTATGGATATCACCATATGTTTTTGTATATCTTTTCAGAAATCTTGGAGGGAGAAATTAATAAGAACAACAAATTCTCAAATAATTCTTCAAAACTCTCTTAGAATGTTCAGGAAAGTTAAATAAAAGAGAGTGTGAGCAATGTGAAGTCCACCTTATCTTGTGATTGAAACGTATAGCAAATATTTCAACTGTTGTGCAGACATTAGCAGGTGAGGTTTCTGCTAACTAATAATTAACATTTATTTTAGAAGGAATTTCATGACCTTCTTTCAAATTGGACACCCAAACATTGGGAGGAGGAGGTAAGCACAGAGTGGAGATACCTTAATGAAGTTTAATGAAAATTAAGAAATTATTGCCTGTGAGATAACAGACCTTTTCTCTCTTTACTTACATTGGCATAGGAACTGGTTCAAAGTAAGCTGAACATAGAGGAAGATTTCCATTTGTTTTCGTGGACTTCCAATTTGGCCTGCCACAATCAGTAAGATAAGTTAATAAGTGCAGACACTCTACTGTAAAACCAATAGCAGACAAAAACTGAGCTTAGCATGCTATTTTTAAGATCAGTGTACAACTGGAGATAATTTTCATAGCCCATTTGAGCAGAAAGATGCTTTTATTCTTTCCTTCATGGTAGCTTTTTTTTTTTTTTCTTCTTTTCTTTCTCCTTTTGCTGTTGCTGTTTTGCTGTTTTTATTTTGGGAGAGTATTTTCCCTCTTGGCAAAGTGATAGTATCTTTGAACTTATATTAAAAGAAGATGTAACTTTAACTGGATATGGAATTTGTTTGACTGGAAGCCATAGCATAGTCTCAGAAAGCACTGCTTGTTCTTACAATTAATTGCAGATTCTTTAATTTACCCTGGAAAAACAAGGTCACATATGTGTGTGTAGGGATACAGATTATGAATGTATGCTTACAAATAATGTTAAAAACAGCAACAACAAAAAACGCAAATTTAAGGTTTTAAAAAGAAACAGGAATAATTATATCCTATGTTAGTAAACCTTTCAAATAGATGGTGAAGGAAATGTTCCAGAATTCACTGAAAAGAGAGAAGAAAAATCTAATTATTAGAATCCTCATTTCAAGAATATTTATGGCCTCATTGTTCTCTATAACAAATTAAAACTCAAGATGAAAAACTTGGATATGGTACAGAATTTCTGACTTTAATGGGAGGATGTACTGATCCAGTCGTGACCTGTAACCAATAAAAATGGTCCCAATTATATGTCCTAGTTTTAACTAAAGAGTTTAAATGGTTCATCATTTGAACTCTGGTTTAGATGTTCTCTTAATTATCTTCTTAAATTTTTCATCACATTTGTGAGTCAGAGGTTGCATTTTTTAATCTTAAGGGATTTTTTTCTGAAAATATAAAACAAACAAATATCTATCACTGACAAATGAGTGCCTGATGACAGCCATAGAAAAGGTTCTGTAAACATTTTTTCAACTCTCTTTTCTTTCCTAAATTTCTTCAAACTGAATGGATTTCTGAATGCCACTCATTCAGTGAGGTGGCAGCTCGGATAAAAGGAACCAGGATCTAGATTTAGCTGTGAAAAATAATTACCCGAGAGCAAGTAACCTGCTGTTTGCATGTGTGTTTAGCCATTAAAAAGTTATTACACTCATATTGGTTGTCACTAGATAACACAATGTTCTCAGTGTGCTAGGGTATTATATTAGCAAACCATAGGGCTTCCATTATCAATAGCCTAAAAAAAGGTAGGGTAGGATGCACCTCTGTAGGAGAGCAGGCAAGAAGATAGAGCCTCAATTTACAAGCGCCAACATGAAAAGGTCTCATCTCCTGTTAGTTTTTCATAGATACCTATTTTATGAGCTTACACATATGGTGATCATGCCTGAAATGCATGAAACTCTTTCTGTTGAGATATTACCTTGCTGTGTTTGTTCCTCTTTGATTATTCTCTGAACTCCTATTTTCTTCAGCCAAATGAAATGTTAAGGAAACCCACTTCTTTTCAGAGAAAACAATTGAACTTTGTTCAACATGAGGAAGTCTGGGTAAGGTTCTAATCTTTGAGGTACTTACATATTTAATTAGGTGTATGAAGAGCATTACTCTGTTTATTGTGATTACTTGAATATACAAAGGAAAATGTATGTGTGAGCAGTTACAAAGTTGGAAACAGTTTTATTTGAGTCTACATTCTGTATTAAGAGAGACTGTTGACAATTCTACTAAAAAAACCAAAGTGAACCAACGGAAACAAATTGAACAGCACTTGTAAGGTTAGGAATATACAATATCATGTCATAGCTGAGTGCAGTGTAAAGAACTGTCAGAGGCAAGAAAACAAAAAATGGGATGAAAAAAAGAAATCAAACAAAAGCAATTACTGTAAATTAAGTTCTCTCTCAGGACAAAAGGATTTTGAAGCCTACTCAGTACAGGCATAAGCCAGACAGTCTGGGGAAAATGTCTGGGAAAAATCTGAAGAGGTGTCAAGAAATGGAAAGACAATAAAAAATGTATTAGAAAAGAATATAATAAATATTTAGCTCTCTGCACTTTAGTTAGAGAAAGCCTTTAGAGAAAGCCTGTCTTTAAAGGTAACTTACGCTG